AAAAATATACATGCGATATGATCACCATGATATATTAACTATACAGGGTAATTCACAAATGGTGATCAAAAATGAAACCTCGTATTCTTTGTCGAACTTTAAGAGAAGTCTTTCCTATAAAGTTTTTATCTAGGACGCTTCGTTAAAAAGATACAGGGTGTTAAAATTCAAAAAATATTTTAAAATTTTTAAATTTTGAAAAACTGAAAATAAAATACTGAAAAATATAAAAACTGAACTAATTTGAAATTGGGCACATGTATTTATGTAAACGTTGTCCAAAATCTGAGGGCTTTTCCTAAAATTTACATGCTCCAGTGGCGGAGATACAGGGCATCGATGGCAAATTTTTCTAAATAAAATAGTACGCCACTGCTTTACTGTTCAATATTCAACAAATTACTACACTCTTATGTTTTTTGAAAGAAGCCTGATTTTCGAGTAAAACTTAAAAAACCAACTGAAAAAACTTTTTTCTACGTTCATGCAATAAACACAACTTTATTGAACTATATTTACTAGAAAAAGTGGATCTTTATTGCACTAGTGCAATAAATATTTATTGCACTCATCTGTCATTATAGTACAGCGGTTTGTGATCAAGACAAACATAAACATTCAAATGAGCGAAATATTTAGTCCTTTTTCTGTGAGATTGTAATACGTTTCAAAGAATTGCGGATTTTATTTTATTATCAATCATATTTATTATGTACTGGATTACGAAATTACTAGAAAATGCATTTTTTTCTAAAATGCCATATGATTACAATTTATAAACACAAACGTAAATGCCTCAAACATACGCGATCACGACTACTATGATTTGGATAATGCAACTCTGCAGTTCTAGAAATGTCAGTCAAAAATTAATTTTGACATTTAAACAAAGTTTAAAAATGAGTGATATTATTGGAAAAATAGATGATAGTGATGAAGAAGAATTTGTTGGGACCCCACCAGAAGTTAGTGAAATAGCAAATACAGCGTCATTAAACTTATTACCTAGCAAATCAAGAAAACTATATGAAAAAAGTTATAATCGTTTTAAAGAGTGGTGCTTT